ATTTTCGTTATTAGTTCGTAGAAAAAAAATATACTATACAACTCGAGTGGATTGTCCACATCGCACTCAGACGATTGAGCACTCGGCTTACTTCGTCGTGCTCAAATTTCGTTTTCGTGCGATATGGTCATCATATCCACTCTTGTTGCACAAACTACTATTCTCGTCTGAAATATTATCTTCGATATTGTTTTTTAAATATGCCGTTGGTTTAAAAAATGCTCTAAACCTACTTTGACATATTTTAATTTTTCATTCATTTTTTTTATACCTAAAGATGGTATTGTTGACCAAAACTTATTGTGGCTTACTTTGATTTCCCATACTTTTATTGTGTATTATGCCGCAGTTGTGATATGGATAACGTTCTTAATCTCATTATTGATTACTTAATTTTCAGTGTTTTCAAAACGAAAGAAGAGTACAGTAGAAAATCTGTTAAATTATATACACATGCTTGTTTAAGGTTTCACTAATATTTCTGTGTCACGTTTTCCCATTAGGAATATTACCAACTCAAGGAAGTACATGTTTTACAAGTTTACAAACATGTTATCGAAAATTGCCATTCAGTCATGATGCATTTACACATGAAAGTAAGATGATTGCATTTAATCACGAATAATTATACTTAGTTTTTGAAGTGAGGCTATAGGTAACGTCAATTCTAGACAGGCTTTCATTTTCCACATTTTTCCTTTATATGTTTCCCTTCACCTGTTTTGAATTGGCAGTTCATTATGCTAAACGTTAGTCACGAGAATAGATTTAAATTTTCGGGATCACCGTTAGAGCTCATACAAATATTTATCCGTGGTTTGTTATTTATTCCTTAAGATGAACAGGCAACAATGAAATGTACAATTATTATAATAAACATTTAACCAACTTATATACAAAATTAAAACTACTTACCTTTCAAATCTGGAGAATAATAGGAACGATCTTCCAATTTCAAATGGCCAATTCAAAGCTAACTTTATCAAATAGATATATTATGCATATAAATAAAAATATAAAATAGTGTACATTTATTTTTGGATTTATTATTTTTTGGCCCTTCGTAAAGTGCGATATTTTTTACTTGGTTCAGCATAGTTGGCTCACTAAACGATCATTGACAGGATGCTGATCAGTGTTGCCAGAATATATTTTTGCTATGTACCAGATTTATCTAAAAAATGTACCAGATTCCATAAAAATGTACCAGATTCTATAAATTGTACCAGATTTTTCGAATTGTTATGGTTTGGTTCACTGAAGAGCAAAACAAAAGCGGAGATCTTGAAGTACATTTGCTAAAACTCTGTAATATATTTTACACGTTAAATGGAAACATACGTTATAAAACGAAAACGTACTAGATTTTGCTTCGAGTGTATTAGAGTATTATATTCTTACATACTGTACTAGATCTAGTACAAAACAACGCACACAAAACAATGCACACAAAACAACGCACAACGCACATAAAACAACGCACAATGAACACAAAACAATGCACAAAACACAACGCACAAAAAACAACGCACAACGAACACAAAACAACGCACAACGAACACAAAACAACGCACAAAAAACAACGCACACAAAACAACGCACAAAGCATACAAAACAACGCACATAAAACAATGCACGCAAAACAAAGCACGCAAAACAACGTACACAAAACAACGCACTCAAAACAACCAGTGTTGCCAGGATATATCTTTGCTATGTACCAGATTTGTCTAAAAAATGTACCAGATTCCATAAAAATATACCAGATTCTATAAATTGTACCAAATTTTTCGAATTGTGATGGTTTGATTCATTGAAGAGCAGAACAAAAGCGGATATCTAACGTACATTTGTTAAAACTCTCTAATATATTTTACACGTCAAATGGAAACACGTTGAAAAACGAAAATGTACTAGATTTTGCTTCGAGTGTACTAGAGTACCAGATTCTTAGATAATGTATTTTTTTTCTCCTGGGCTCGTCTGACTATGTCTCCGAATAACACTTATTGTGTTTTACCCCATGTTAGTTCATAGCACCCACTCTGTCACCTTTGTACTTTGTACAAGTTTGTACCGATCCTTGGGTGAGTGGGTTATTCTATACGTTGGTTGATCAACCTGGGGTTGTCCAAAAAGAGCCTGTCGTTTGCGATCTAGAGCTTCGCATTCGCACAGTATGTGTTTGGCCGTTTCTGGTTTCTTGTGACATAGTCGGCACATGAGTTCCCCATTGTGCATGCCAATTTATCCCTTTACTGGGGCGTGCCCAGTCATGAACCCTGTTATCACTTTCAACTGGTTTCTATTCATAAAGAGTAGTTTTCCAGTTCTTTTGGGACATGGTCTGCCTATGAAGGCTTTTTCATGGTTCTGTTTTGGGGTGCTTCCCCAATAGTTGATATGTTGTTCCCGAATCCAGTCGTTTATGAAACCCCGGTACTCCTGGGTTTGTGTCTGGTTCCGGTGTTTCTTCTGACCCTCTTTTTGCAAGTTCGTCAGCCTTTTCGATCCATTGGTGACCTGGCACCCAAAATAGTTTTACTCTATTTCGGTCTGCCAGTGTTCTTAGTTCTTCGATGCATTCCCATACCAGCCTCGACGTAACTTTCTGACTCGATATGGCCTTAAGTGCCGCTTGGCTGTCTGACATTTGAATATGCTGATTTTCGACAGCTCTTTCATTGTTCGTTTTTGCACATTGCAAAATTGCGTATACCTCGGCCTGAAATACCGAGGAATGTATTTCTATAGCATAGCTATGGTTAGTATCAGGGTTTTTGGAGAAAACTCCCGCCCCAGTGTCTTCCACAGTCTTAGACCCGTCTGTATACCAGGTTTGTTCCTGTCGTTGGGCATTGGGCTCCCTTATGGTGATCTCCGCTCTTTCCTGGATTTAAACACTGATGCTTATCCAAGTATTTTACCAGTACTTGTTGTTGTTGTTGTTGTTGTTGTTGTTGTTGTTGTTGTTGTTGTTTGTAGTTGCGTGGTGTCGTGAAATGCGCCAGAACGGCCACCTTTTGATCAGGGGACGAAGTGCTGCGTTCTTCCCTATCTATGGGCAGAGTAAAAAAAACATAACCTCGCTTTTTTGTGACTATTGTTTCTGGTTTGTATGTCAAAATAGTGAGCAAAAAGTGAAGAAAATGAAAAAAACTTTTAATAATAAGGGGCAATGGCCCTGAAATGCAGCATATACCACAAATGCCCGCTTCGCTTTCAAACTCTATATGACTCTGATTACTGGTGATTAGATCTAGGCAGAGAAAATGTATTTTTCAAACACACGTTTTATTTTTTTTGACGAATAATTTTAGCTATAAGAGAAAAGCGGCTAAGTAATTTGTTAACTTCTTGTCTGGTCTCGAATTTTGAGATTCAGATTTGTTTGTAGGTTAATTAAAGAGATATGTAGAGACTAAGACAAATTTCTCTCTCTTCTCGATCATTCTGCCCTGAGAACATCGAGCTCGCTCTCGGAGTGTCAATTCAGTCACGTTTGCAGCGCTCGGAGATCTCCGATGATCAATTCAAACGCACCATATGTAGATTTATGTTTTGATTGCGTTTTGTTTCGAAAATTACATCTTTAGTGTTCTGACTATTATACAAACATAGAGATAGTGATTTAAAATTAAAATCTTTAAATAATAAATTTTTGTTTATCGAACTTTTCACACCATAAAAGTTTTTCTAATAAAACAATCATCCTAAGATCTTGCCATAAATCATATTTTTTTAAATAGTAGGTATTAATTTTTTTTTTGGTTATTTTAATAGGAAGGAATATTTTATCGTAGTGTTTTAGGTTATATTTTATATCAAGATTTGATTTGACCAATTATTAATGAAAGTAATGAAACAATCCTGTATATATGCAAAGGATAGCAATATGGAAGACTCAGTAAAAATTGACTGACTAACTTTCTGAAACTGTTATTTGAATCATGACTAGTTCATAGATACTTAAATTACTAAATTTATTCAATAATTATTGTAGTGATTCATAAATAATAAGATGATACATGGCAATGAGTAGTGCAATGCAGTAATGCATGAGCTAAATAATTATTTTACGGGTTATACTTAGGTATTTATCATATTGTGATCTAATAATAGACAATTGACTTGATCTAAGATAATACTATTTTTATAAACAATTTTCCTAAGTTAAATATAATCTTCTTCTTTAAGCTAGCAAAAAAGTATTAGAATAAAATATGGGAAGATAAGAATAAAGACGAGAAAAGGTTAATTCCAGGGTTTTCGAAAATAACGAGTTGTTGGACGCACTATTTAGTATTCACTGAAAATGGATTATAGGAAGAAACCATTGAAAAAAAATCAAATCATTGGTTATGCTAGATCAGAGGTTCTTAACTATTTCCGGACCACCTACCGCTTTAAAAAAAAAACAATTTTCAATGCCTCTCCGAAACATAAAACTTGTAAAAAGTTTTGACAAAAAAATTTACGTTTATACAGAAATCTAAATTAAAAAAAAAATTATATGAACTCTTCAAATATTGTTGCATATTATTGGACTTATTTATCTGCTTATTTATCTATTAAAAATCATAAAGTAGAAATTAATAAAATGACAAACAAATGTACAATAAAAATAAACACAAAATCAATAAGAAATAAAAAAATGAGATAAACACAAAATCAATAAGAAATACAAAATAAGATAAATAAAAAATTAATGAGATGGTTGAGGCTGGTGGAGTTTTAACAAGTTTTTAATGTCGGGTTCCAATTTCGTTAACATCAACCGCAGACCGCTACGTTCAGTGATGTGTAGTCTGTTCCTCTCCTTTGACAGTGAAGTAGCTATTGCACTGAAACCACGCTCAGACAGATAAGATGAAGGAAATTTGATTAAATTCTTCTGTACTACTACCCACAATCCAGGGTAGAGAACTGTTATTGATTTTTGGAGCCAAAATTATTGGTAGACATGTTTGAATTTTACGTGGAGTTCTTCGTTAGTTTACAAGTTCTACGAATTCCTCTTCCAAATTTGATGAATCTTCAGTATCTGCATTTGCGAAAGCACCTGAGACCCAAATCAGTACGTTCATGTTTACAACATCTTGGAAATGCTTCGTAAAATCAACACGAAGAACCTCCAAGTGTATGAAGTAAGTAAATCTTCCTGTTTCGCTGAGACTGTTGATATTCTGGGAAAGTGTTTGTATTTACCTCTACCTAGACTTCATTTGAATAAAAGAAGTTTTCCCGCAAAAGCAGCTATGACGCTTTTTGATTTGATGAAGTTCAACACATCACCTTTAAATTGTAAATTACCTTCATTAAATATTTTAAACAGGTTTGACAAATATGCGATGTCATTTTTTGATAGAATCAGGTTTTCTCGCAATTTTTCGTATCTGTCTTCAAGAAAGTTAAGAACTGAGTTAAATAGATTGAAAAAACAACTCAGAAAACACTTTTGGCAACGTTTTTCTGTGTACAGCAGTAAGCGATTGTTATCTTTCGTATCTTTTGTATATTTTGTATCTTTCGTATCTTTCGTATCTTTCGTATCTTTCGTATCTTTCGAATCTTTCGTATATTTCTACTACTTTCTTATCTTTCGAATCTTTCGTATATTTCTACTACTTTCTTATCTTTCGTATCTTTCGTATCTTTCGTATCTTTCGTATCTTTCGTATCTTTCGTATCTTTCGTATCTTTCGTATCTTTCGTATCTTTCGTATCTTTCGTATCTTTCGTATCTTTCGTATCTTTCGTATCTTTCGTATCTTTCGTATCTTTCGTATCTTTCGTATCTTTCGTATCTTTCGTATCTTTCGTATCTTTCGTATCTTTCGTATCTTTCGTATCTTTCGTATCTTTCGTATCTTTCGTATCTTTCGTATCTTTCGTATCTTTCGTAACTTTCGTATATTTCGTATATTTCGTATCTTTCGTATCTTTCGTATCTTTCGTATCTTTCGCATCTTTCGCATCTTTCGTATCTTTCGTATCTTTCGCATCTTTCGTATCTCTCGTATCTTTCGCATCTTTCGTATTCTGCGTATTTTGGGTATTTTTCGTATCTTTCATATCTTTCATATCTTTCATATCTTTCATATCTTTCATATCTTTCATATCTTTCATATCTTTCATATCTTTCATATCTTTCATATCTTTCATATCTTTCATATCTTTCATATCTTTCATATCTTTCATATCTTTCATATCTTTCATATCTTTCATATCTTTCATATCTTTCATATCTTTCATATCTTTCATATCTTTCATATCTTTCATATCTTTCATATCTTTCATATCTTTCATATCTTTCATATCTTTCATATCTTTCATATCTTTCATATCTTTCATATCTTTCATATCTTTCATATCTTTCATATCTTTCATATCTTTCATATCTTTCATATCTTTCATATCTTTCATATCTTTCATATCTTTCATATCTTTCATATCTTTCATATCTTTCATATCTTTCATATCTTTCATATCTTTAATATCTTTCGTATTTTTCGTATATTTTGTATCTTTTGTATCTCTCGGCTGTCGCAATTGTTAAAAAAATTGTTACTCCAATTATTCAAGTTTCAATTATATTATATGAACTATAGTATATCCCTCGCCCAATGTGGATATATATACAAATAAAAAAAAATTTCGTATCTTGGATATCTTTCGTATCTTTCATATCTTTCGAATCTTTCGAATCTTTCGAATCTTTCGAATCTTTCGCATCTTTTGTATCTTTCGTATTTTTCGTCTCTCGTATCTTTCGTCTTTCAAATCTTTCGTATCTTTCGTATCTTTCGTATCTTTCGTATCTTTCGTATCTTTCGTATCTTTCGTATCTTTCGTATCTTTCGTATCTTTCGTATCTTTCGTATCTTTCGTATCTTTCGTATCTTTCGTATCTTTCGTATCTTTCGTATCTTTCGTATCTTTCGTATTGTAACGCCTTTATCGGGTAATTATAATAGTAAAAAATGATACTCGCGTCTGACTATCAAAAAATACTATATTCTCAATTTCAAAAACCATAACAACATAAAATCATTTCATACAGGGTGTCATAAAATATAAACATAATTGCAATAAATAATAGTTTCTACATTCTTCCCCCGAAATAAAAAAAAAACTATTTTTCTATGGTGGCGATCTTGCATAGCTTATTCACTGGCCGACGGAATATACCAGTAGCGGTTTGGACCTCAGCTACCCTTACTACCCCATCCTTTCCAGGGTAAGTCTTGGAAATCTTTCCTTTGGGCCAAGTATTTCTGGGACCATTGTTGTCTGCGATAACCACAATATCTCCAACGTCTATATTTTGGATATGCTGGAACCATTTTTGGCGTCTGTTTAGTGTTGGGAGGTATTCTTTAACCCATCGTTGCCAAAATCTGTCTGCTAATTCTTGTGCCAATTGCCATTGTTTTCTCAAATCTGGATTTTCGATATCTAGAACTGGTGCCCCGCAATTTTTACCAATTAAGAAATGGTTTGGAGTTAAACATTCAGGTTCATCAGGGTCTGTGGGTACATACGTGAGAGGTCTACTGTTGACGCTAAACTCGATTTCACATAAAAGGGTCCAGAGGGTTTCTTCTTTGGGAACTGCTTCTTTCAAGATGATTTTTAATGTTGTTTTTACCGTTCGAATTAATCTTTCCCAGACTCCTGCAAAATTTGGAGCAAGAGGTGGTAAAAAGTGCCATTTCATATCTTTCATGGAAAATTCTCTAATTATGTCGTCTTGAGAGATATTTTTTAAGGCTGTCTGGAGTTCCTTGTCGGTACCTTTAAAGTTTGTGGCGTTGTCAGAGTACATGTTTTGGGGACATCCTCTTCTGCTGATCATCCTCTTTATTGCCATAATAGCTGAATTTGTGTCCAAACTGTGTGCCAATTCTAGATGTATAGCTCTAGTAGCCATGCAGGTAAATATTACTCCGTAACGTTTTTCCTGTCTTCTGCCAATTTTTACTTGCATGGGTCCGAAGTAATCAATTCCGCAGTTAGTAAAGGGTCTCACAAATCCAGTAATTCTTGGTAAAGGTAGGTCACTCATTTCAGGTGTTGCCGGTTTCGATTTTCGATTTTTACAGAACATGCATCTACGAAATCCTTTTTTTACAGCACATCTCATATGGGTGATCCAATATTTTGATCGAAGTTCGTTGATTACCGTTTCTATCCCTACGTGGTTAAACTTTTTATGAAAATAATCTATTAAAATTTCTGTAAAATAATGTTTATCCGATAGAATAATAGGATTTTTCTGATATTCTTCCAAATCGGGGTTATGCTTGAGTCGGCCTCTCATTCTGACGATACCATCTGCATCTAAATATGGGGACAATCGGTATACTTTACTATCTTTTTTTACATTTTTTTTTAATCTTAAAACTTCTATCTCTTCATAAAACATTTCCTGTTGTACACTTCGTAACCAAATTTTTTCAGATTTTAACAATTCTTCTGGATACAATTCTGTATACATTTTAGGTTTGTCTATCTTCCTAATGGAAATTTTGCAATTTTCTATGAATCTTAATATCCATGCAGTAGACCGAATAAGTTTTGTCCAACTTGAGTACTTTTTTAGATCCGGTAAAGCATTTTTTACAATTATTAATCCGACAAATGTATTCTTTTGTTTAATTTCTTCTAAGCAAATTTCATTTTTGTTAAAGTTATCTACTGGCCAATACTCTTCGCTTTTCGTCAGAAATTCTGGACCTCTTAGCCAAACGTCGTTGTCAATATAATTCGATTTAGTTAGATTATCTGCTATATTATTTTTGCTATCTATCCATCTCCATTCTTTGTCATCACTTTTGTCTAAAATTTCTTGAATTCGAAAGGCTACAAATTGTTTATAACTTCTTGCGTCCGAACGAAGCCAAAGTAAAACTGTTTTAGAATCACACCAATACGTAATTCTTTCTATTGGAATAGTATGGCCTTGTCTTACGAGGATACCTAGTCTTACTCCTAATACAGCGGCCATTAGTTCTAACCTGGGGATACTTATTGTTTTAAGTGGGCCTACTCGGGCTTTAGCTGTTACAAACGAAGTTTTCCAGTTTTCATCTTGGTCTCTATATCTAAGGTATGCTACTGCTCCATATGCTGAGAGTCCAGCGTCTGTGAAGATGTGAAGTTCCGTAAAATTGCTTGGATTACTGAAATAAGATCGTGGTATTTCCAAACTCTTTATCGTCTCTAAAGAGGAAATCCATTTTCTAAATTTTTGAACCAAATCGTCAGTTATGTTTTGATCCCAATTTATATTTTGTCTCCAAACTTCTTGGAGTAGTATCCTAATATTTATCATAATGTGACTAATAAAACCAAGTGGGTCAAAAATTAACATGGATATTCTTAATAATTCTCTTTTTGTTGGAATTTTGCTTTTTGACAATATTTCTTTTTCAATTTTGTTAAAATAAAAGTCGAATCTAAATTTATCATTTTGAGAGTCCCACCATACTCCTAAGACTCTTTCAGTAGGCAAGGTCTCATTGTCTAAGAGATTCTTACATGACAGTGCTTTAAGTTCTTCAGGAATGCAATTTAGAACTTCTATAGAGTTGCAAATCCAATTGCAAATTTGGAAATTACCATTTTTGTGAATCTCTATAACTTCGTTAATTTTATTTATTGCCTCTTCCTCTGTATCTACACTGTCGAGGTAATCGTCCATATAGTGTTTCTTTATTATTGCTTCTGCTGCCACCTTATATTTATCCATATATGCTAGCGCATTTTTATTTCTTACTGCTTGAGCTAAACAAGGTGAGCAAGCTGCTCCAAATATCATTGAAACCATTTCGTAGGTTTCGATGTCTCCGTTTCTATCTTTTCTCCACAAAAATCTTTGTGCATGTCTATCCTCTTTTTTTATCTGGACTTGCAGAAACATTTCCTTTATGTCAGCAGAGAAAGCAATTTTCTTTTCTCTGAAGTTCATTAAAATTTCAATTAAATTATTAAAATAGTCTGGGCCTACTTTTAAATTGTCGTTTAAACTCACTCCATTACTTTTTGCAGCCGCATCGAAAACTAGTCTTAGTTTTCCGGGCTT